TAAAATCTCCAAGATGAAAAAAAAGCTCCAGTTTAAGAGCGGTTTGCAGCTCATTCCATTTCAAGGGAGCATAGTAATTGAAACCAGTTCTGCCAATATTAGTACGGGTATATGGAATATCTAAGGTTAGATAGTTACTGGATCGTGTTCTGTAGCTACCAGGTTTAAATGAAAGAAGAGATGTGAGGTAGCTGGGAGGCTTCAGCAGAAGGGCTTTATAGATGAATAACATGAGACGGATATTGCGTCTGGACTGTAAAGAGGTCCAGGCAACCTTTTAATAGAGGGAACAGTGATGAGTGCGAAATGTGTCGTTAGCAGTGAGACGTAGTGCACTGTGATACACAGGATTTAAGAGCTGAAGAGTTGATGGGGCTGCAGCCGTGTTTCCATTGCAAGCAGGATGGCTGTGGCATCAGGATCTGACCGGAGCAGGGGATGCTTACCGGGTGCTCGCCGATGTCGGTCGGTCCGGGGCCCGTGAGGGCCGGACAGGCAGAGACCTGAGGCCACTCTTTTCTTTCCACATGAGATCAGGGGAGAGCGCGGACGCAGTCCCCCACTACCAGAAATTATGCAGTCGAGATTCCCACATTTGGGGAATTCGCAAGGGTCAGCACAACCGGATGTGCAATGGCTGAGCCTCGCCCTGGGTGAACCACCTTCGTGATCATGGTATCTCCCCTGCCAGGTAAGTATGAGTTGCAGAGCTCAGAGACACGCAACGCATTCACTGCCATATCACACTGACCGATGGTGCTGACCATCTAAGTCAAAGGGTGTTTGTGTGTGTGTGTGTGGGGGGGGAGGGGTCCACAAAACCATATGTCACAAGGAACTGCCCAGCAAGGCTTGAAACTGCCTTACAGTTTACAATGCTGCAGCGCAAGCTAGGTATTTTTGCATCAGTTAACACAAACAAAAGCTGACTGACTGCAGACTTAGTGTTTCTTGACTGCGTCAGCTCAACCCACTGGTGACCACGCACTGGTTAGACCATCCAAATCTTTGTCATAGCGCATGGCACCCATAGAATGCGGACTCTGGCGCATTAAAACAAGACAGGCGGATCGCGGCCTTTGCAAAGATTCTCAACAGCAGCTGACCCGGACACAGCAACCTTTGTCATTTCACCACAGAGAGGGGGGTGCACCGTTCCTGGAGGTGCTGCAATACCAGGTCGATGCGTGGAGTGGACGGAGCAAGCCCCTATTCCATCTCCCAGCTCCAAAAATCAATTTAATATATGGTCCCCGGGTAGGGGACGTATCAGATATTAAACTGATAAGAACAGATACTACACTTGATCTTAGCCAAAAGGCCGAGAAGCGATGCTGCACGGAGGTGGGAGGGCAGACACACACTCTCCGCACTGTGCCTCCCGCTAACGGTCCATTTCATCTCACTTACGCCAACAGCACTCCAGGAGACCCAAATTGAGCCTTCTGCGCCAGGTCAAGGAGTGACAGGGGAAGCAACGTCAGCAAACAAAGCTATGTTGAAAAGTTGGGTCCTTGCAACTTTAGCTACACCAAACTTCCTGGTCGGTCTTTGTCCATTGCTGGTGGAAAACCCTGCCACTGCCACCTACTGCTCTGGCAGCTCTGTAATAGAGGCTCTGTGCTGCTTTACAGTGTACACCGGTAAATCACAACGTAGCGTCGAGACAAGCCAGTGTGTGAAACTCACACCTTCCTTCCTCGCGGGGAAAGTTCCTCACCTGGTCCCAGGACACAGGATCCTATACATTTCTCTAGACTTGTTTGGACTTTCAGGTTACACAACCGGAGGTTGGCCCAAACCTCTGGCTCTTCTCAACTGGTCAATGCCAAGAACAGAGACAGAGTTGTTCATTACCTTTCAAACTGACTCTATCACTGACCATCTAAATAATTACTCATGCCCAACCCTGGTCTCCCAATTGAGATTTACTGTCCTCAGTGTGTGTGAACGCCTGGAATCCAAGGAAAGGTCTGAGGAGCAGGACGCTGACCTCCAGACCCAGACCTCTGTCCTAAAACCCTGCTCAACCGTATGCTGCTTAAAACCGCACTCCTTTAGGCAAAGGATACAAATGACTGATTATCACGTCTGACGTATTCAGCAATGTGCTAATCTGTCTTGTCGTGAAATTTGTATCAACATATCTTTATTTTCATTTTTTATCAGGCAGTCTCATTGAGATCGAGATCTCTCATACAAGAGAGGCCTGAGAACAAGGAACATTCACAATCAACACACAACACAGCATACAAACAAACAAACAAACAAAAAAAGAACCAGTTAAAACAGTTACAGCGACTATTGTAAACATCAGACAACAGGTATTTAAAATCTCCAAGATGAAAAAAAAGCTCCAGTTTAAGAGCGGTTTGCAGCTCATTCCATTTCAAGGGAGCATAGTAATTGAAACCAGTTCTGCCAATATTAGTACGGGTATATGGAATATCTAAGGTTAGATAGTTACTGGATCGTGTTCTGTAGCTACCAGGTTTAAATGAAAGAAGAGATGTGAGGTAGCTGGGAGGCTTCAGCAGAAGGGCTTTATAGATGAATAACATGAGACGGATATTGCGTCTGGACTGTAAAGAGGTCCAGGCAACCTTTTAATAGAGGGAACAGTGATGAGTGCGAAATGTGTCGTTAGCAGTGAGACGTAGTGCACTGTGATACACAGGATTTAAGAGCTGAAGAGTTGATGGGGCTGCAGCCGTGTTTCCATTGCAAGCAGGATGGCTGTGGCATCAGGATCTGACCGGAGCAGGGGATGCCTACCGGGTGCTCGCCGATGTCGGTCGGTCCGGGGCCCGTGAGGGCCGGACAGGCAGAGACCTGAGGCCACTCTTTTCTTTCCATATGAGATCAGGGGAGAGCGAACGCAGTCCCCCACTACCAGAAATGATGCAGTCGAGATTCCCACATTTGGGGAATTCGCAAGGGTCAGCACAACCGGATGTGCAATGGCTGAGCCTCGCCCTGGGTGAACCACCTTCGTGATCATGGTATCTCCCCTGCCAGGTAAGTATGAGTTGCAGAGCTCAGAGACACGCAACGCATTCACTGCCATATCACACTGACCGATGGTGCTGACCATCTAAGTCAAAGGGTGTTTGTGTGTGTGTGGGGGGGGTGGGGTCCACAAAACCATATGTCACAAGGAACTGCCCAGCAAGGCTTGAAACTGCCTTACAGTTTACAATGCTGCAGCGCAAGCTAGGTATTTTTGCATCAGTTAACACAAACAAAAGCTGACTGACTGCAGACTTAGTGTTTCTTGACTGCGTCAGCTCAACCCACTGGTGACCACGCACTGGTTAGACCATCCAAATCTTTGTCATAGCGCATGGCACCCATAGAATGCGGACTCTGGCGCATTAAAACAAGACAGGCGGATCGCGGCCTTTGCAAAGATTCTCAACAGCAGCTGACCCAGACACAGCAACCTTTGTCATTTCACCACAGAGAGGGGGTGCACCGTTCCTGGAGGTGCTGCAATACCAGGTCGATGCGTGGAGTGGACGGAGCAAGCCCCTATTCCATCTCCCAGCTCCAAAAATCAATTTAATATATGGTCCCCGGGTAGGGGACGTATCAGATATTAAACTGATAAGAACAGATACTACACTTGATCTTAGCCAAAAGGCCGAGAAGCGATGCTGCACGGAGGTGGGAGGGCAGACACACACTCTCCGCACTGTGCCTCCCGCTAACGGTCCATTTCATCTCACTTACGCCAACAGCACTCCAGGAGACCCAAATTGAGCCTTCTGCGCCAGGTCAAGGAGTGACAGGGGAAGCAACGTCAGCAAACAAAGCTATGTTGAAAAGTTGGGTCCTTGCAACTTTAGCTACACCAAACTTCCTGGTCGGTCTTTGTCCATTGCTGGTGGAAAACCCTGCCACTGCCACCTACTGCTCTGGCAGCTCTGTAATAGAGGCTCTGTGCTGCTTTACAGTGTACACCGGTAAATCACAACGTAGCGTCGAGACAAGCCAGTGTGTGAAACTCACACCTTCCTTCCTCGCGGGGAAAGTTCCTCACCTGGTCCCAGGACACAGGATCCTATACATTTCTCTAGACTTGTTTGGACTTTCAGGTTACACAACCGGAGGTTGGCCCAAACCTCTGGCTCTTCTCAACTGGTCAATGCCAAGAACAGAGACAGAGTTGTTCATTACCTTTCAAACTGACTCTATCACTGACCATCTAAATAATTACTCATGCCTCAACCCTGGTCTCCCAATTGAGATTTACTGTCCTCAGTGTGTGTGAACGCCTGGAATCCAAGGAAAGGTCTGAGGAGCAGGACGCTGACCTCCAGACCCAGACCTCTGTCCTAAAACCCTGCTCAACCTTATGCTGCTTAAAACCGCACTCCTTTAGGCAAAGGATACAAATGACTGATTATCACGTCTGACGTATTCAGCAATGTGCTAATCTGTCTTGTCGTGAAATTTGTATCAACATATCTTTATTTTCATTTTTTATCAGGCAGTCTCATTGAGATCGAGATCTCTCATACAAGAGAGGCCTGAGAACAAGGAACATTCACAATCAACACACAACACAGCATACAAACAAACAAACAAACAAAAAAAGAACCAATTAAAACAGTTACAGCGACTATTGTAAACATCAGACAACATGTATTTAAAATCTCCAAGATGAAAAAAAAGCTCCAGTTTAAGAGCGGTTTGCAGCTCATTCCATTTCAAGGGAGCATAGTAATTGAAACCAGTTCTGCCAATATTAGTACGGGTATATGGAATATCTAAGGTTAGATAGTTACTGGATCGTGTTCTGTAGCTAGCAGGTTTAAATGAAAGAAGAGATGTGAGGTAGCTGGGAGGCTTCAGCAGAAGGGCTTTATAGATGAATAACATGAGACGGATATTGCGTCTGGACTGTAAAGAGGTCCAGGCAACCTTTTAATAGAGGGAACAGTGATGAGTGCGAAATGTGTCGTTAGCAGTGAGACGTAGTGCACTGTGATACACAGGATTTAAGAGCTGAAGAGTTGATGGGGCTGCAGCCGTGTTTCCATTGCAAGCAGGATGGCTGTGGCATCAGGATCTGACCGGAGCAGGGGATGCTTACCGGGTGCTCGCCGATGTCGGTCGGTCCGGGGCCCGTGAGGGCCGGACAGGCAGAGACCTGAGGCCACTCTTTTCTTTCCACATGAGATCAGGGGAGAGCGCGGACGCAGTCCCCCACTACCAGAAATTATGCAGTCGAGATTCCCACATTTGGGGAATTCGCAAGGGTCAGCACAACCGGATGTGCAATGGCTGAGCCTCGCCCTGGGTGAACCACCTTCGTGATCATGGTATCTCCCCTGCCAGGTAAGTATGAGTTGCAGAGCTCAGAGACACGCAACGCATTCACTGCCATATCACACTGACCGATGGTGCTGACCATCTAAGTCAAAGGGTGTTTGTGTGTGTGTGTGGGGGGGGAGGGGTCCACAAAACCATATGTCACAAGGAACTGCCCAGCAAGGCTTGAAACTGCCTTACAGTTTACAATGCTGCAGCGCAAGCTAGGTATTTTTGCATCAGTTAACACAAACAAAAGCTGACTGACTGCAGACTTAGTGTTTCTTGACTGCGTCAGCTCAACCCACTGGTGACCACGCACTGGTTAGACCATCCAAATCTTTGTCATAGCGCATGGCACCCATAGAATGCGGACTCTGGCGCATTAAAACAAGACAGGCGGATCGCGGCCTTTGCAAAGATTCTCAACAGCAGCTGACCCAGACACAGCAACCTTTGTCATTTCACCACAGAGAGGGGGGTGCACCGTTCCTGGAGGTGCTGCAATACCAGGTCGATGCGTGGAGTGGACGGAGCAAGCCCCTATTCCATCTCCCAGCTCCAAAAATCAATTTAATATATGGTCCCCGGGTAGGGGACGTATCAGATATTAAACTGATAAGAACAGATTTTTTTTTTTTTTTTTTTCTTTCAAAAGGTTTATTGTTACAGAACAATTTATGTGCTTATTTCAGAACTGGACTTTTCCTAAGCGGGATGACAATTTACATCAACATCGAACACATGTTTTTTTGTTTTAAAAAGACATTTTTCAGACACAATACATTGTTGATATGTAAAACAAATTAAAAGGCAATGATGAGTTAAAATTCTCTGTGTCTTAAAAAGTGTCCATGTTGTTAAAACCACCTTAAAAGAAGAGCATTCATGTTAAAAGTTCTTTCTTTGGTTCTTTGTGCAGGAGCGGGTTAAGCCCCTACCAAGAAAAAAAACTCATTCTGCTCTACCAAACAGGTGTGGTCTCTCGGGGTCCTGCCTTGGTGCTCAGAGGAGACCCCCACCCTGCTGCTCCTTCCCGCCTGCCACTCCCGGAGAGCCAGGCTGCTGCTGCTTTGAACTTTTCCCGTGTAGCTCCGGCTCCTTCGTCCGAATGGGCACAGAGGCGATTCTTCTTTGTGGCTGTTTCCTAGGCCTGCCGCCTGCAGCCCCGGCCATTGTGACCGTTGCTGCTGCCATCCGGAGAACAGCCACGGGGGGGATCTGCTTGTGCTTCCTTACCAGCAAGTTCCTGGAGGTCCATATGGCGTCCTTGATGGCGGCTAGAGTGAGCCATTGTTGGGAAAAGTCCTTTGGCGGCTGCTGTTCATGGCTCACTCCATAAAGCACTAGCTGTGCTGTGAGGACCTCCCTTGCTGGTAAGCACGGGAATTGCAAGGTGCCGGCCAGTGACCACTGTTCTACAGCAGCGCTGCACTCCCAGAGCAGATGCCTCACCGACTCAGGCGCGCCACAACCTGGTCGGGGGCAAAGTGAGGACGTTGACATGCCCCGGGAGTGCATAACAGACCTGACTGGGAGGATCTCATGAGCCACCATCCATGACAGGTCCCGGAGTCTGTTTGGAAGAGCAGGATGGTTCACATTGCGCCAAACTGTGGAGGGCTCACCGAGTGCAAGCCCGCGCACTGGACTCACTGGCTCCCGCTCCTGCACAACAGAAATGAGAGAACGGTGGTTAGTTAAAATGTCCAACTGTTCTTCTTCAAGTTTAAAATGTTTTAAAAATTTCTGAATTAAAAGATATGCAGGGGGAAGGTTAAAGGACACTGGAATTCTCAGGTCCACAGGTAAGATTTTTAGCCGTTGCAGATATGACCCCATCCAGAATCTTGTAAGGGCAGCTGTTTTGGGGTTTCTGGATGGGGCCATGGCAGCCCTGATCGCCAGCGAAGCATATCTGCTTTTTAAAAACAGGCCAAGGTCCGGCACTCCTTTTCCTCCTTTTTCTTTGTTTTTTTTCATCGTCTCCCTCTTGATTCTCTCCCACTTGGTCCCCCACAGGAAATAAAAAATTGTACGGTCCAGTTCTAAAAGCACATGTCGAGGAGGGATAAAAACAGAGCCAATCAATAAAAGCAAAGGTAAAATCACTGCTTTAATAATTAAAACCTTCCCTTCCAAAGTCAGTTGTCTTTGTCTCCAAAACCCCAGTCTCTGTCTAACTTTCCCTACTTTGTCTGGCCAATTTGTTTTTCCTCCCCCTCCCTGTCAAATTTTACCCCAAGGATTTTCTGTTCCGTCTGGGTCACAGTCAAGGGGAGTCCAGTCATTTCAGTCGCCGTCCAAGGTCCGTGAAATTGGGCTTGGGTCTTTTGTCTGTTGAGTCTTGATCCAGAGGCCCGTCCAAAAAAGTCAGTCATGTCAAGGGTTCTGTAAACTGATAAAAGGTCAGTACATAAAATGTTGATGTCGTCCATGTATAAAATGCATTTGTTGGTCAGTCCTCCGCTCCCTGGTATCCCCACCCCTTTGATCCGTTGGTCCCTTCTCAAGATCTGCGCCAGGGGTTCAATGCAGAGGACATAGAGGAGGGCAGATAACGGACAACCCTGACGGACACCGCAGTTTATTTGAACTGCATTTGTTAGATGCCCGTTAACCACAAATTTGCTGATGATGTCCCTATACAGCAGTCCCACCCAAGCTATATACCTCTCTGGGAACCCCATCTTTTGCAGTACCTGGAAAAGATACTGGTGCGAGACCCGATCAAAGGCCTTTTCAAAATCTAAATTGAGGACTACTAGCCGAATGTTTCTGTCTCTCGCTAAACAGATGGTGTCTCGGATCAGTATCAGGCTGTCTGTGATCTTCCTCCCCGGGACGGCACAGGCTTGATCCGGGTGAATCAGCCCCTCTAAAAACACAGACATACGAGATGATAAAAGCTTACTAAAAAGTTTGCAGTCAAAATTTAAAAGGGTGATAGGTCTCCAGTTTTTTAGGTCTGTCTTGTCTTTGTCTTTAAAAAGGAGAGTCACTATCCCTAATCTAAAACTGTCAGGAAGTCTGTCAAGTTTTTCAAAATCCATAAAAACTGTCAAAAGGTCAGGTGCTAAAATGTCCCAGAAAGTCAAATAAAATTCCAGGGGAAGTCCGTCATGCCCTGGGGACTTCCCCCTCTTAAAACCTTTTAGGCAGGTTTCAAGTTCTAAAATGTTAAAATCTTGGGATAAAAGCACACTTTCTTCAATTGTATGTTCTATGAATTTCAAAACTTCTTTTAAGGTATCATGTTCAATAGGTTTTTCTTTATATAGTTTTTCATAAAAGCAGGTCACTGTTTCTTTTATTTCTTCTGTTGTTTCTGATATGCCACCATTTTCTTTCTTAAGTTTGAGTATTGTTTTGTCTTTGTTTATGATTTTCTTAAAAAAGTATCTGGTGCACTTTTCACCTTCTTCTATTTCCTTTTCTTTGCTTCTTAGAATGACACCTTTACTCTTGATGTCAGCCAAGGCTGACATTTGTAATTTAACTTCCTTTATTTCTTCATTAAAATCCATTCCATTATGATTTTGGTTAAAATATCTTTGTAGTCTTTTTTGCAATCCCAGCATGCGTCTATGTTCTTTTTGTTTTTTCCTTTTTCCAGCTTGCCTAAAAAAAGTCTGGGTCCTTCCCTTCACCATTTCCCACCAGTGTGCGCGTGTCTCGTAAAAGTCTTGAAGGGTCTGCCATTCTTCATACTGCTCCCTGTACTGCCTGACAATCTCCCTTTCTTCTAACAGGGAGCAGTTGAGTTTCCACAGACCCTTCCCAGAAGTCACACCAGAAGGGAGTGAAAGGGTGCAGGAAAGCATAGCGTGATCAGAAAAGAAAACAGGGGTTACTCTAGCATCAGTTGGCGGGCAATCTCTTGATAAAATATAATCTATGCGAGAGGCTTTGGTGCCATCACCACTGAACCAGGTGAAGCCCTCCTCTCTGGGATGCATGACTTTAAAACAGTCGAGTAATTTAAAATCCCTGCATATAGCCCCCAATAAAACTGATGTTTTGTCAACTTTAAAATCCTCCCCTGCTCCTTTCCTATCCTTCCTACATAAAATACAATTAAAATCCCCTCCTAAAATCAGTGGCAGCCTGCCTAGCATGTGGGATTGCAAGTCTTCTAAAAGGTCATACCTGTCATTTTTGTCGTTAAAACCATAAATATTTAAACAATTAAAATCCTTCCCCATAAAAGTCAGGTGTGCTAAAAGTGCCCTGCCATCTCTCACCACGGTGCTGCCCTTCACCAAGACCTGGGGGTTTTTGATTAAAATGGCCACGCCATCATTTTTATTTTGGTTGGATCCACTCCATAGGGATGTATGTGGCCAAAGTTTCTCCCACTCTGTGTAACTGGTCTTAAAAGGCAATCCGCACTCTTGTAATAAAAACACATCTGACTTCAGAGAATAAAGGAATGATAAAACGGCTTGGGCTCTAACTTGCGACTTCACACTTCTCACATTGATGGTAGAGAAGGTGAGAGCCATAAGTATGGTTAAAAAACAACAGGTACGACATTTAAAATGCTAAAAATAAAGGGCAATCAATTTGTCAGAGGAGCTCTTCTTTCACTCTCATGGGGGGAGAGTGACTGAACTGAGCTCCAATTCCCTTACAGGCTTTACAGGTCTACCTACAGGTAGACCATGCATTATATTAACAGCCCTTCTAGGGGTTGATTGCAGAGCTATATTGAGAAAAGAGACCTCATTGGGTGAATCGGAGGGGAAGACTCTGAGATCCTCCACAGATGAACTGTCTGAGGAGCTCCCAGCTCTTCCCCTTTTCTCTGAGACTACGGGAGACTCAGAAGACAATTCAGACAAAGGTCTCTTGGCTTGGGCATTGGGAAGGGTGGAGTCCTTGCTGTTAGTTTTTGGTGTTTCTGAGGTAGCTCCACCCTCTGCCTGCACAGCTCCATTATCCTCCACAGACTCTGCCTGTGGAGCAGGAGCTGGCTCCTCCCTCTTTCCCTCCTCACCTGACCCTTCTTCTCCAGTCAGGGGTTTTGGAGGGAAATTTGAATTTAACTGCCCAAGCTCCTCAAAAAGCTCACTAAACAATTTGTCTGGTCCGCCATTTTCCACTCCATTTTCATTTTCCTTTTCTGTTTCCTTTTCCTTTTCCATTCTTTTTGCAGCCTTCAATTTGTTGGCAAAAGACTTTGGACAATCTCTAAAGAGGTGATTTGTGTCACCACAGAGATTACACTTTCTGCCATTGGTACATTCCTCAAAGGTATGACCAATTTCTCTGCATTTCGTACAAATGGTCTTCTGGCACGCTTCCACAAGGTGCCCATGCTCACCACACTTGCGGCAGAGTTTGGGCTGGCCTTGGTAATGAATATAGCCCCGGTTATTTCCCAGGACTATCATAGATGGCAGATGTTTCAGGCCTTGGAAGCCTTGGGGGTCCTGCCATTGTTGGATGGGGACCCTCCAAGCACAATTCCAAATGCCATCCTCATCTCTCACCTTCATAGCCTGGCCTTTAACCGTGCAATATCTCCCCAGCCACATGCAAATGTCTTCTGCATTCACAGTCTCATTGAACATTCTGACAATAACCGTCTTTAAGGCATTATCAGTCAGTCTCTCAACATTAAATGCAGAAAACTGGGTTTTCACACTTTCATATCGTGTCCAGAAGTTGTTTAGCAATACAGCTGAACGAAAGCTCAGGTCAAATCCTTTGTTCAGGGGCAAGGTGACAATACAATTGATTTCATCTGGTTTAAAACCGAGGGATCTTTGAATCAGTTTCCTTGAGAAATCAAGCCTTGACATCTGCAACAGCTTTCCATCATTCTCGCGGAACATGAAGCGGACTGTGTGGTGCCTCCGCACGCCGGCATTGGGAGCCGACATGGTGGAGGCACCTGGAACAGACAATCTATTCAGGAAAAAAAGTTATTGTACTTACCTGAAAAACCTAGGACTCCTTCTTCGCGCACCTTATATTCCTGTCTAAATGTGCTACCAGCAAAAGGTTCTGGGAGTACCTTTGACAGGAATGTGTTAGTTTACCTCCTATCAAGTGGTGGTCAGGTCACAGAGACAAAACCACACACGGCCGATTGGAGGCGACCGCTGTCAAAGCCTTGTGGCCAGAACAGTGCAGCAACTGATAAGAACAGATACTACACTTGATCTTAGCCAAAAGGCCGAGAAGCGATGCTGCACGGAGGTGGGAGGGCAGACACACACTCTCCGCACTGTGCCTCCCGCTAACGGTCCATTTCATCTCACTTACGCCAACAGCACTCCAGGAGACCCAAATTGAGCCTTCTGCGCCAGGTCAAGGAGTGACAGGGGAAGCAACGTCAGCAAACAAAGCTATGTTGAAAAGTTGGGTCCTTGCAACTTTAGCTACACCAAACTTCCTGGTCGGTCTTTGTCCATTGCTGGTGGAAAACCCTGCCACTGCCACCTACTGCTCTGGCAGCTCTGTAATAGAGGCTCTGTGCTGCTTTACAGTGTACACCGGTAAATCACAACGTAGCGTCGAGACAAGCCAGTGTGTGAAACTCACACCTTCCTTCCTCGCGGGGAAAGTTCCTCACCTGGTCCCAGGACACAGGATCCTATACATTTCTCTAGACTTGTTTGGACTTTCAGGTTACACAACCGGAGGTTGGCCCAAACCTCTGGCTCTTCTCAACTGGTCAATGCCAAGAACAGAGACAGAGTTGTTCATTACCTTTCAAACTGACTCTATCACTGACCATCTAAATAATTACTCATGCCTCAACCCTGGTCTCCCAATTGAGATTTACTGTCCTCAGTGTGTGTGAACGCCTGGAATCCAAGGAAAGGTCTGAGGAGCAGGACGCTGACCTCCAGACCCAGACCTCTGTCCTAAAACCCTGCTCAACCGTATGCTGCTTAAAACCGCACTCCTTTAGGCAAAGGATACAAATGACTGATTATCACGTCTGACGTATTCAGCAATGTGCTAATCTGTCTTGTCGTGAAATTTGTATCAACATATCTTTATTTTCATTTTTTATCAGGCAGTCTCATTGAGATCGAGATCTCTCATACAAGAGAGGCCTGAGAACAAGGAACATTCACAATCAACACACAACACAGCATACAAACAAACAAACAAACAAAAAAAGAACCAGTTAAAACAGTTACAGCGACTATTGTAAACATCAGACAACAGGTATTTAAAATCTCCAAGATGAAAAAAAAGCTCCAGTTTAAGAGCGGTTTGCAGCTCATTCCATTTCAAGGGAGCATAGTAATTGAAACCAGTTCTGCCAATATTAGTACGGGTATATGGAATATCTAAGGTTAGATAGTTACTGGATCGTGTTCTGTAGCTACCAGGTTTAAATGAAAGAAGAGATGTGAGGTAGCTGGGAGGCTTCAGCAGAAGGGCTTTATAGATGAATAACATGAGACGGATATTGCGTCTGGACTGTAAAGAGGTCCAGGCAACCTTTTAATAGAGGGAACAGTGATGAGTGCGAAATGTGTCGTTAGCAGTGAGACGTAGTGCACTGTGATACACAGGATTTAAGAGCTGAAGAGTTGATGGGGCTGCAGCCGTGTTTCCATTGCAAGCAGGATGGCTGTGGCATCAGGATCTGACCGGAGCAGGGGATGCTTACCGGGTGCTCGTCGATGTCGGTCGGTCCGGGGCCCGTGAGGGCCGGACAGGCAGAGACCTGAGGCCACTCTTTTCTTTCCACATTAGATCAGGGGAGAGCGCGGACGCAGTCCCCCACTACCAGAAATTATGCAGTCGCGATTCCCACATTTGGGGAATTCGCAAGGGTCAGCACAACCTGATGTGCAATGGCTGAGCCTCGCCCTGGGTGAACCACCTTCGTGATCATGGTATCTCCCCTGCCAGGTAAGTATGAGTTGCAGAGCTCAGAGACACGCAACGCATTCACTGCCATATCACACTGACCGATGGTGCTGACCATCTAAGTCAAAGGGTGTTTGTGTGTGTTGGTGGGGGGGCGGGGTCCACAAAACCATATGTCACAAGGAACTGCCCAGCAAGGCTTGAAACTGCCTTACAGTTTACAATGCTGCAGCGCAAGCTAGGTATTTTTGCATCAGTTAACACAAACAAAAGCTGACTGACTGCAGACTTAGTGTTTCTTGACTGCGTCAGCTCAACCCACTGGTGACCACGCACTGGTTAGACCATCCAAATCTTTGTCATAGCGCATGGCACCCATAGAATGCGGACTCTGGCGCATTAAAACAAGACAGGCGGATCGCGGCCTTTGCAAAGATTCTCAACAGCAGCTGACCCAGACACAGCAACCTTTGTCATTTCACCACAGAGAGGGGGTGCACCGTTCCTGGAGGTGCTGCAATACCAGGTCGATGCGTGGAGTGGACGGAGCAAGCCCCTATTCCATCTCCCAGCTCCAAAAATCAATTTAATATATGGTCCCCGGGTAGGGGACGTATCAGATATTAAACTGATAAGAACAGATACTACACTTGATCTTAGCCAAAAGGCCGAGAAGCGATGCTGCACGGAGGTGGGAGGGCAGACACACACTCTCCGCACTGTGCCTCCCGCTAACGGTCCATTTCATCTCACTTACGCCAACAGCACTCCAGGAGACCCAAATTGAGCCTTCTGCGCCAGGTCAAGGAGTGACAGGGGAAGCAACGTCAGCAAACAAAGCTATGTTGAAAAGTTGGGTCCTTGCAACTTTAGCTACACCAAACTTCCTGGTCGGTCTTTGTCCATTGCTGGTGGAAAACCCTGCCACTGCCACCTACTGCTCTGGCAGCTCTGTAATAGAGGCTCTGTGCTGCTTTACAGTGTACACCGGTAAATCACAACGTAGCGTCGAGACAAGCCAGTGTGTGAAACTCACACCTTCCTTCCTCGCGGGGAAAGTTCCTCACCTGGTCCCAGGACACAGGATCCTATACATTTCTCTAGACTTGTTTGGACTTTCAGGTTACACAACCGGAGGTTGGCCCAAACCTCTGGCTCTTCTCAACTGGTCAATGCCAAGAACAGAGACAGAGTTGTTCATTACCTTTCAAACTGACTCTATCACTGACCATCTAAATAATTACTCATGCCTCAACCCTGGTCTCCCAATTGAGATTTACTGTCCTCAGTGTGTGTGAACGCCTGGAATCCAAGGAAAGGTCTGAGGAGCAGGACGCTGACCTCCAGACCCAGACCTCTGTCCTAAAACCCTGCTCAACCGTATGCTGCTTAAAACCGCACTCCTTTAGGCAAAGGATACAAATGACTGATTATCACGTCTGACGTATTCAGCAATGTGCTAATCTGTCTTGTCGTGAAATTTGTATCAACATATCTTTATTTTCATTTTTTATCAGGCAGTCTCATTGAGATCGAGATCTCTCATACAAGAGAGGCCTGAGAACAAGGAACATTCACAATCAACACACAACACAGCATACAAACAAACAAACAAACAAAAAAAGAACCAGTTAAAACAGTTACAGCGACTATTGTAAACATCAGACAACAGGTATTTAAAATCTCCAAGATGAAAAAAAAGCTCCAGTTTAAGAGCGGTTTGCAGCTCATTCCATTTCAAGGGAGCATAGTAATTGAAACCAGTTCTGCCAATATTAGTACGGGTATATGGAATATCTAAGGTTAGATAGTTACTGGATCGTGTTCTGTAGCTACCAGGTTTAAATGAAAGAAGAGATGTGAGGTAGCTGGGAGGCTTCAGCAGAAGGGCTTTATAGATGAATAACATGAGACGGATATTGCGTCTGGACTGTAAAGAGGTCCAGGCAACCTTTTAATAGAGGGAACAGTGATGAGTGCGAAATGTGTCGTTAGCAGTGAGACGTAGTGCACTGTGATACACAGGATTTAAGAGCTGAAGAGTTGATGGGGCTGCAGCCGTGTTTCCATTGCAAGCAGGATGGCTGTGGCATCAGGATCTGACCGGAGCAGGGGATGCTTACCGGGTGCTCGCCGATGTCGGTCGGTCCGGGGCCCGTGAGGGCCGGACAGGCAGAGACCTGAGGCCACTCTTTTCTTTCCACATGAGATCAGGGGAGAGCGCGGACGCAGTCCCCCACTACCAGAAATTATGCAGTCGAGATTCCCACATTTGGGGAATTCGCAAGGGTCAGCACAACCGGATGTGCAATGGCTGAGCCTCGCCCTGGGTGAACCACCTTCGTGATCATGGTATCTCCCCTGCCAGGTAAGTATGAGTTGCAGAGCTCAGAGACACGCAACGCATTCACTGCCATATCACACTGACCGATGGTGCTGACCATCTAAGTCAAAGGGTGTTTGTGTGTGTGTGTGTGTGGGGGGAGGGGTCCACAAAACCATATGTCACAAGGAACTGCCCAGCAAGGCTTGAAACTGCCTTACAGTTTACAATGCTGCAGCGCAAGCTAGGTATTTTTGCATCAGTTAACACAAACAAAAGCTGACTGACTGCAGACTTAGTGTTTCTTGACTGCGTCAGCTCAACCCACTGGTGACCACGCACTGGTTAGACCATCCAAATCTTTGTCATAGCGCATGGCACCCATAGAATGCGGACTCTGGCGCATTAAAACAAGACAGGCGGATGGCGGCCTTTGCAAAGATTCTCAACAGCAGCTGACCCGGACACAGCAACCTTTGTCATTTCACCACAGAGAGGGGGGTGCACCGTTCCTGGAGGTGCTGCAATACCAGGTCGATGCGTGGAGTGGACGGAGCAAGCCCCTATTCCATCTCCCAGCTCCAAAAATCAATTTAATATATGGTCCCCGGGTAGGGGACGTATCAGATATTAAACTGATAAGAACAGATACTACACTTGATCTTAGCCAAAAGGCCGAGAAGCGATGCTGCACGGAGGTGGGAGGGCAGACACACACTCTCCGCACTGTGCCTCCCGCTAACGGTCCATTTCATCTCACTTACGCCAACAGCACTCCAGGAGACCCAAATTGAGCCTTCTGCGCCAGGTCAAGGAGTGACAGGGGAAGCAACGTCAGCAAACAAAGCTATGTTGAAAAGTTGGGTCCTTGCAACTTTAGCTACACCAAACTTCCTGGTCGGTCTTTGTCCATTGCTGGTGGAAAACCCTGCCACTGCCACCTACTGCTCTGGCAGCTCTGTAATAGAGGCTCTGTGCTGCTTTACAGTGTACACCGGTAAATCACAACGTAGCGTCGAGACAAGCCAGTGTGTGAAACTCACACCTTCCTTCCTCGCGGGGAAAGTTCCTCACCTGGTCCCAGGACACAGGATCCTATACATTTCTCTAGACTTGTTTGGACTTTCAGGTTACACAACCGGAGGTTGGCCCAAACCTCTGGCTCTTCTCAACTGGTCAATGCCAAGAACAGAGACAGAGTTGTTCATTACCTTTCAAACTGACTCTATCACTGACCATCTAAATAATTACTCATGCCTCAACCCTGGTCTCCCAATTGAGATTTACTGTCCTCAGTGTGTGTGAACGCCTGGAATCCAAGGAAAGGTCTGAGGAGCAGGACGCTGACCTCCAGACCCAGACCTCTGTCCTAAAACCCTGCTCAACCGTATGCTGCTTAAAACCGCACTCCTTTAGGCAAAGGATACAAATGACTGATTATCACGTCTGACGTATTCAGCAATGTGCTAATCTGTCTTGTCGTGAAATTTGTATCAACATATCTTTATTTTCATTTTTTATCAGGCAGTCTCATTGAGATCGAGATCTCTCATACAAGAGAGGCCTGAGAACAAGGAACATTCACAATCAACACACAACACAGCATACAAACAAACAAACAAACAAAAAAAGAACCAGTTAAAACAGTTACAGCGACTATTGTAAACATCAGACAACAGGTATTTAAAATCTCCAAGATGAAAAAAAAGCTCCAGTTTAAGAGCGGTTTGCAGCTCATTCCATTTCAAGGGAGCATAGTAATTGAAACCAGTTCTGCCAATATTAGTACGGGTATATGGAATATCTAAGGTTAGATAGTTACTGGATCGTGTTCTGTAGCTACCAGGTTTAAATGAAAGAAGAGATGTGAGGTAGCTGGGAGGCTTCAGCAGAAGGGCTTTATAGATGAATAACATGAGACGGATATTGCGTCTGGACTGTAAAGAGGTCCAGGCAACCTTTTAATAGAGGGAACAGTGATGAGTGCGAAATGTGTCGTTAGCAGTGAGACGTAGTGCACTGTGATACACAGGATTTAAGAGCTGAAGAGTTGATGGGGCTGCAGCCGTGTTTCCATTGCAAGCAGGATGGCTGTGGCATCAGGATCTGACCGGAGCAGGGGATGCTTACCGGGTGCTCGCCGATGTCGGTCGGTCCGGGGCCCGTGAGGGCCGGACAGGCAGAGACCTGAGGCCACTCTTTTCTTTCCACATGAGATCAGGGGAGAGCGCGGACGCAGTCCCCCACTACCAGAAATTATGCAGTCGAGATTCCCACATTTGGGGAATTCGCAAGGGTCAGCACAACCGGATGTGCAATGGCTGAGCCTCGCCCTGGGTGAACCACCTTCGTGATCATGGTATCTCCCCTGCCAGGTAAGTATGAGTTGCAGAGCTCAGAGACACGCAACGCATTCACTGCCATATCACACTGACCGATGGTGCTGACCATCTAAGTCAAAGGGTGTTTGTGTGTGTGTGTGTGGGGGGAGGGGTCCACAAAACCATATGTCACAAGGAACTGCCCAGCAAGGCTTGAAACTGCCTTACAGTTTACAATGCTGCAGCGCAAGCTAGGTATTTTTGCATCAGTTAACACAAACAAAAGCTGACTGACTGCAGACTTAGTGTTTCTTGACTGCGTCAGCTCAACCCACTGGTGACCACGCACTGGTTAGACCATCCAAATCTTTGTCATAGCGCATGGCACCCATAGAATGCGGACTCTGGCGCATTAAAACAAGACAGGCGGATCGCGGCCTTTGCAAAGATTCTCAACAGCAGCTGACCCAGACACAGCAACCTTTGTCATTTCACCACAGAGAGGGGGGTGCACCGTTCCTGGAGGTGCTGCAATACCAGGTCGATGCGTGGAGTGGACGGAGCAAGCCCCTATTCCATCTCCCAGCTCCAAAAATCAATTTAATATATGGTCCCCGGGTAGGGGACGTATCAGATATTAAACTGATAAGAACAGATTTTTTTCTTTCAAAAGGTTTATTGTTACAGAACAATTTATGTGCTTATTTCAGAACTGGACTTTTCCTAAGCGGGATGACAATTTACATCAACATCGAACACATGTTTTTTTGTTTTAAAAAGACATTTTTCAGACACAATACATTGTTGATATGTAAAACAAATTAAAAGGCAATGATGAGTTAAAATTCTCTGTGTCTTAAAAAGTGTCCATGTTGTTAAAACCACCTTAAAAGAAGAGCATTCATGTTAAAAGTTCTTTCTTAGGTTCTTTGTGCAGGAGCGGGTTAAGCCCCTACCAAGAAAAAAAACTCATTCTGCTCTACCAAACAGGTGTGGTCACTCGGGGTCCTGCCTTGGTGCTCAGAGGAGACCCCCACCCTGCTGCTCCTTCCCGCCTGCCACTCCCGGAGAGCCAGGCTGCTGCTGCTTTGAACTTTTCCCGTGTAGCTCCGGCTCCTTCGTCCGAATGGGCACAGAGGCGATTCTTCTTTGTGGCTGTTTCCTAGGCCTGCCGCCTGCAGCCCCGGCCATTGTGACCGTTGCTGCTGCCATCCGGAGAACAGCCACGGGGGGATCTGCTTGTGCTTCCTTACCAGCAAGTTCCTGGAGGTCCATATGGCGTCCTTGATGGCGGCTAGAGTGAGCCATTGTTGGGAAAAGTCCTTTGGCGGCTGCTGTTCATGGCTCACTCCATAAAGCACTAGCTGTGCTGTGAGGACCTCCCTTGCTGGTAAGCACGGGAATTGCAAGGTGCCGGCCAGTGCCCACTGTTCTACAGCAGCGCTGCACTCCCAGAGCAGATGCCTCACCGACTCAGGCGTGCCACAACCTGGTCGGGGGCAAAGTGAGGACGTTGACATGCCCCGGGAGTGCATAACAGACCTGACTGGGAGGATCTCATGAGCCACCATCCATGACAGGTCCCGGAGTCTGTTTGGAAGAGCAGGATGGTTCACATTGCGCCAAACTGTGGAGGGCTCACCGAGTGCAAGCCCGCGCACTGTACTCACTGGCTCCCGCTCCTGCACAACAGAAATGAGAGAACGGTGGTTAGTTAAAATGTCCAGCTGTTCTTCTTCAAGTTTAAAATGTTTTAAAAATTTCTGAATTAAAAGATATGCAGGGGGAAGGTTAAAGGACACTGGAATTCTCAGGTCCACAGGTAAGATTTTTAGCCGTTGCAGATATGACCCCATCCAGAATCTTGTAAGGGCAGCTGTTTTGGGGTTTCTGGATGGGGCCATGGCAGCCCTGATCGCCAGCGAAGCATATCTGCTTTTTAAAAACAGGCCAAGGTCCGGCACTCCTTTTCCTCCTTTTTCTTTGTTTTTTTTCATCGTCTCCCTCTTGATTCTCTCCCACTTGGTCCCCCACAGGAAATAAAAAATTGTACGGTCCAGTTCTAAAAGCACATGTCGAGGAGGGATCAAAACAGAGCCAATCAATAAAAGCAAAGGTAAAATCACTGCTTTAATAATTAAAACCTTCCCTTCCAAAGTCAGTTGTCTTTGTCTCCAAAACCCCAGTCTCTGTCTAACTTTCCCTACTTTGTCTGGCCAATTTGTTTTTCCTCCACCCTCCCTGTCAAATTTTACCCCAAGGATTTTCTGTTCCGTCTGGGTCACAGTCAAGGGGAGTCCAGTCATTTCAGTCGCCGTCCAAGGTCCGTGAAATTGGGCTTGGGTCTTTTGTCTGTTGAGTCTTGATCCAGAGGCCCGTCCAAAAAAGTCAGTCATGTCAAGGGTTCTGTAAACTGATAAAAGGTCAGTACATAAAATGTTGATGTCGTCCATGTATAAAATGCATTTGTTGGTCAGTCCTCCGCTCCCTGGTATCCCCACCCCTTTGATCCGTTGGTCCCTTCTCAAGATCTGCGCCAGGGGTTCAATGCAGAGGACATAGAGGAGGGCAGATAACGGACAACCCTGACGGACACCGCAGTTTATTTGAACTGCATTTGTTAGATGCCCGTTAACCACAAATTTGCTGATGATGTCCCTATACAGCAGTCCCACCCAAGCTATATACCTCTCTGGGAACCCCATCTTTTGCAGTACCTGGAAAAGATACTGGTGCGAGACCCGATCAAAGGCCTTTTCAAAATCTAAATTGAGGACTACTAGCCGAATGTTTCTGTCTCTCGCTAAACAGATGGTGTCTCGGATCAGTATCAGGCTGTCGGTGATCTTCCTCCCCGGGACGGCACAGGCTTGATCCGGGTGAATCAGCCCCTCTAAAAACACAGACATACGAGATGATAAAAGCTTACTAAAAAGTTTGCAGTCAAAATTTAAAAGGGTGATAGGTCTCCAGTTTTTTAGGTCTGTCTTGTCTTTGTCTTTAAAAAGGAGAGTCACTATCCCTAATCTAAAACTGTCAGGAAGTCTGTCAAGTTTTTCAAAATCCATAAAAACTGTCAAAAGGTCAGGTGCTAAAATGTCCCAGAAAGTCAAATAAAATTCCAGGGGAAGTCCGTCATGCCCTGGGGACTTCCCCCTCTTAAAACCTTTTAGGCAGGTTTCAAGTTCTAAAATGTTAAAATCTTGGGATAAAAGCACACTTTCTTCAATTGTATGTTCTATGAATTTCAAAACTTCTTTTCAGGTATCATGTTCAATAGGTTTTTCTTTATATAGTTTTTCATAAAAGCAGGTCACTGTTTCTTTTATTTCTTCTGTTGTTTCTGATATGCCACCATTTTCTTTCTTAAGTTTGAGTATTGTTTTGTCTTTGTTTATGATTTTCTTAAAAAAGTATCTGGTGCACTTTTCACCTTCTTCTATTTCCTTTTCTTTGCTTCTTAGAATGACACCTTTACTCTTGATGTCAGCCAAGGCTGACATTTGTAATTTAACTTCCTTTATTTCTTCATTAAAATCCATTCCATTATGATTTTGGTTAAAATATCTTTGTAGTCTTTTTTGCAATCCCAGCATGCGTCTATGTTCTTTTTGTTTTTTCCTTTTTCCAGCTTGCCTAAAAAAAGTCTGGGTCCTTCCCTTCACCATTTCCCACCAGTGTGCGCGTGTCTCGTAAAAGTCTTGAAGGGTCTGCCATTCTTCATACTGCTCCCTGTACTGCCTGACAATCTCCCTTTCTTCTAACAGGGAGCAGTTGAGTTTCCACAGACCCTTCCCAGAAGTCACACCAGAAGGGAGTGAAAGGGTGCAGGAAAGCATAGTGTGATCTGAAAAGAAAACAGGGGTTACTCTAGCATCAGTTGGCGGGCAATCTCTTGATAAAATATAATCTATGCGAGAGGCTTTGGTGCCATCACCACTGAACCAGGTGAAGCCCTCCTCTCTGGGATGCATGACTTTAAAACAGTCGAGTAATTTAAAATCCCTGCATATAGCCCCCAATAAAACTGATGTTTTGTCAACTTTAAAATCCTCCCCTGCTCCTTTCCTATCCTTCCTACATAAAATACAATTAAAATCCCCTCCTAAAATCAGTGGCAGCCTGCCTAGCATGTGGGATTGCAAGTCTTCTAAAAGGTCATACCTGTCATTTTTGTCGTTAAAACCATAAATATTTAAACAATTAAAATCCTTCCCCATAAAAGTCAGGTGTGCTAAAAGTGCCCTGCCATCTCTCACCACGGTGCTGCCCTTCACCAAGACCTGGGGGTTTTTGATTAAAATGGCCACGCCATCATTTTTATTTTGGTTGGATCCACTCCATAGGGATGTATGTGGCCAAAGTTTCTCCCACTCTGTGTAACTGGTCTTAAAAGGCAATCCGCACTCTTGTAATAAAAACACATCTGACTTCAGAGAATAAAGGAATGATAAAACGGCTTGGGCTCTAACTTGCGACTTCACACTTCTCACATTGATGGTAGAGAAGGTGAGAGCCATAAGTATGGTTAAAAGCAACAGGTACGACATTTAAAATGCTAAAAATAAAGGGCAATCAATTTGTCAGAGGAGCTCTTCTTTCACTCTCATGGGGGGAGAGTGACTGAACTGAGCTCCAATTCCCTTACAGGCTCTACAGGTCTACCTACAGGTAGACCATGCATAATATTAACAGCCCTTCTAGGGGTTGATTGCAGAGCTATATTGAGAAAAGAGACCTCATTGGGTGAATCGGAGGGGAAGACTCTGAGATCCTCCACAGATGAACTGTCTGAGGAGCTCCCAGCTCTTCCCCTTTTCTCTGAGACTACAGGAGACTCAGAGGACAATTCAGACAAAGGTCTCTTGGCTTGGGCATTGGGAAGGGTGGAGTCCTTGCTGTTAGTTTTTGGTGTTTCTGAGGTAGCTCCACCCTCTGCCTGCACAGCTCCATTATCCTCCACAGACTCTGCCTGTGGAGCAGGAGCTGGCTCCTCCCTCTTTCCCTCCTCACCTGACCCTTCTTCTCCAGTCAGGGGTTTTGGAGGGAAATTTGAATTTAACTGCCCAAGCTCCTCAAAAAGCTCACTAAACAATTTGTCTGGTCCGCCATTTTCCACTCCATTTTCATTTTCCTTTTCTGTTTCCTTTTCCTTTTCCATTCTTTTTGCAGCCTTCAATTTGTTGGCAAAAGACTTTGGACAATCTCTAAAGAGGAGATTTGTGTCACCACAGAGATTACACTTTCTGCCATTGGTACATTCCTCAAAGGTATGACCAATTTCTCTGCATTTCGTACAAATGGTCTTCTGGCACGCTTCCACAAGGTGCCCATGCTCACCACACTTGCGGCAGAGTTTGGGCTGGCCTTGGTAATGAATATAGCCCCGGTTATTTCCCAGGACTATCATAGATGGCAGATGTTTCAGGCCTTGGAAGCCTTGGGGGTCCTGCCATTGTTGGATGGGGACCCTCCAAGCACAATTCCAAATGCCATCCTCATCTCTCACCTTCATAGCCTGGCCTTTAACCGTGCAATATCTCCCCAGCCACATGCAAATGTCTTCTGCATTCACAGTCTCATTGAACATTCTGACAATAACCGTCTTTAAGGCATTATCAGTCAGTCTCTCAACATTAAATGCAGAAAACTGGGTTTTCACACTTTCATATCGTGTCCAGAAGTTGTTTAGCAATACAGCTGAACGAAAGCTCAGGTCAAATCCTTTGTTCAGGGGCAAGGTGACAATACAATTGATTTCATCTGGTTTAAAACCGAGGGATCTTTGAATCAGTTTCCTTGAGAAATCAAGCCTTGACATCTGCAACAGCTTTCCATCATTCTCGCGGAACATGAAGCGGACTGTGTGGTGCCTCCGCACGCCGGCATTGGGAGCCGACATGGTGGAGGCACCTGGAACAGACAATCTATTCAGGAAAAAAGTTATTGTACTTACCTGAAAAACCTAGGACTCCTTCTTCGCGCACCTTATATTCCTGTCTAAATGTGCTACCAGCAAAAGGTTCTGGGAGTACCTTTGACAGGAATGTGTTAGTTTACCTCCTATCAAGTGGTGGTCAGGTCACAGAGACAAAACCACACACGGCCGATTGGAGGCGACCGCTGTCAAAGCCTTGTGGCCAGAACAGTGCAGCAACTGATAAGAACAGATACTACACTTGATCTTAGCCAAAAGGCCGAGAAGCGATGCTGCACGGAGGTGGGAGGGCAGACACACACTCTCCGCACTGTGCCTCCCGCTAACGGTCCATTTCATCTCACTTACGCCAACAGCACTCCAGGAGACCCAAATTGAGCCTTCTGCGCCAGGTCAAGGAGTGACAGGGGAAGCAACGTCAGCAAACAAAGCTATGTTGAAAAGTTGGGTCCTTGCAACTTTAGCTACACCAAACTTCCTGGTCGGTCTTTGTCCATTGCTGGTGGAAAACCCTGCCACTGCCACCTACTGCTCTGGCAGCTCTGTAATAGAGGCTCTGTGCTGCTTTACAGTGTACACCGGTAAATCACAACGTAGCGTCGAGACAAGCCAGTGTGTGAAACTCACACCTTCCTTCCTCGCGGGGAAAGTTCCTCACCTGGTCCCAGGACACAGGATCCTATACATTTCTCTAGACTTGTTTGGACTTTCAGGTTACACAACCGGAGGTTGGCCCAAACCTCTGGCTCTTCTCAACTGGTCAATGCCAAGAACAGAGACAGAGTTGTTCATTACCTTTCAAACTGACTCTATCACTGACCATCTAAATAATTACTCATGCCTCAACCCTGGTCTCCCAATTGAGATTTACTGTCCTCAGTGTGTGTGAACGCCTGGAATCCAAGGAAAGGTCTGAGGAGCAGGACGCTGACCTCCAGACCCAGACCTCTGTCCTAAAACCCTGCTCAACCGTATGCTGCTTAAAACCGCACTCCTTTAGGCAAAGGATACAAATGACTGATTATCACGTCTGACGTATTCAGCAATGTGCTAATCTGTCTTGTCGTGAAATTTGTATCAACATATCTTTATTTTCATTTTTTATCAGGCAGTCTCATTGAGATCGAGATCTCTCATACAAGAGAGGCCTGAGAACAAGGAACATTCACAATCAACACACAACACAGCATACAAACAAACAAACAAACAAAAAAAGAACCAGTTAAAACAGTTACAGCGACTATTGTAAACATCAGACAACAGGTATTTAAAATCTCCAAGATGAAAAAAAAGCTCCAGTTTAAGAGCGGTTTGCAGCTCATTCCATTTCAAGGGAGCATAGTAATTGAAACCAGTTCTGCCAATATTAGTACGGGTATATGGAATATCTAAGGTTAGATAGTTACTGGATCGTGTTCTGTAGCTACCAGGTTTAAATGAAAGAAGAGATGTGAGGTAGCTGGGAGGCTTCAGCAGAAGGGCTTTATAGATGAATAACATGAGACGGATATTGCGTCTGGACTGTAAAGAGGTCCAGGCAACCTTTTAATAGAGGGAACAGTGATGAGTGCGAAATGTGTCGTTAGCAGTGAGACGTAGTGCACTGTGATACACAGGATTTAAGAGCTGAAGAGTTGATGGGGCTGCAGCCGTGTTTCCATTGCAAGCAGGATGGCTGTGGCATCAGGATCTGACCGGAGCAGGGGATGCTTACCGGGTGCTCGCCGATGTCGGTCGGTCCGGGGCCCGTGAGGGCCGGACAGGCAGAGACCTGAGGCCACTCTTTTCTTTCCACATGAGATCAGGGGAGAGCGCGGACGCAGTCCCCCACTACCAGAAATTATGCAGTCGAGATTCCCACATTTGGGGAATTCGCAAGGGTCAGCACAACCGGATGTGCAATGGCTGAGCCTCGCCCTGGGTGAACCACCTTCGTGATCATGGTATCTCCCCTGCCAGGTAAGTATGAGTTGCAGAGCTCAGAGACACGCAACGCATTCACTGCCATATCACACTGACCGATGGTGCTGACCATCTAAGTCAAAGGGTGTGTTGTGTGTGTGTGTGTGTGGGGGGAGGGGTCCACAAAACCATATGTCACAAGGAACTGCCCAGCAAGGCTTGAAACTGCCTTACAGTTTACAATGCTGCAGCGCAAGCTAGGTATTTTTGCATCAGTTAACACAAACAAAAGCTGACTGACTGCAGACTTAGTGTTTCTTGACTGCGTCAGCTCAACCCACTGGTGACCACGCACTGGTTAGACCATCCAAATCTTTGTCATAGCGCATGGCACCCATAGAATGCGGACTCTGGCGCATTAAAACAAGACAGGCGGATCGCGGCCTTTGCAAAGATTCTCAACAGCAGCTGACCCAGACACAGCAACCTTTGTCATTTCACCACAGAGAGGGGGGTGCACCGTTCCTGGAGGTGCTGCAATACCAGGTCGATGCGTGGAGTGGACGGAGCAAGCCCCTATTCCATCTCCCAGCTCCAAAAATCAATTTAATATATGGTCCCCGGGTAGGGGACGTATCAGATATTAAACTGATAAGAACAGATACTACACTTGATCTTAGCCAAAAGGCCGAGAAGCGATGCTGCACGGAGGTGGGAGGGCAGACACACACTCTCCGCACTGTGCCTCCCGCTAACGGTCCATTTCATCTCACTTACGCCAACAGCACTCCAGGAGACCCAAATTGAGCCTTCTGCGCCAGGTCAAGGAGTGACAGGGGAAGCAACGTCAGCAAACAAAGCTATGTTGAAAAGTTGGGTCCTTGCAACTTTAGCTACACCAAACTTCCTGGTCGGTCTTTGTCCATTGCTGGTGGAAAACCCTGCCACTGCCACCTACTGCTCTGGCAGCTCTGTAATAGAGGCTCTGTGCTGCTTTACAGTGTACACCGGTAAATCACAACGTAGCGTCGAGACAAGCCAGTGTGTGAAACTCACACCTTCCTTCCTCGCGGGGAAAGTTCCTCACCTGGTCCCAGGACACAGGATCCTATACATTTCTCTAGACTTGTTTGGACTTTCAGGTTACACAACCGGAGGTTGGCCCAAACCTCTGGCTCTTCTCAACTGGTCAATGCCAAGAACAGAGACAGAGTTGTTCATTACCTTTCAAACTGACTCTATCACTGACCATCTAAATAATTACTCATGCCTCAACCCTGGTCTCCCAATTGAGATTTACTGTCCTCAGTGTGTGTGAACGCCTGGAATCCAAGGAAAGGTCTGAGGAGCAGGACGCTGACCTCCAGACCCAGACCTCTGTCCTAAAACCCTGCTCAACCGTATGCTGCTTAAAACCGCACTCCTTTAGGCAAAGGATACAAATGACTGATTATCACGTCTGACGTATTCAGCAATGTGCTAATCTGTCTTGTCGTGAAATTTGTATCAACATATCTTTATTTTCATTTTTTATCAGGCAGTCTCATTGAGATCGAGATCTCTCATACAAGAGAGGCCTGAGAACAAGGAACATTCACAATCAACACACAACACAGCATACAAACAAACAAACAAACAAAAAAAGAACCAGTTAAAACAGTTACAGCGACTATTGTAAACATCAGACAACAGGTATTTAAAATCTCCAAGATGAAAAAAAAGCTCCAGTTTAAGAGCGGTTTGCAGCTCATTCCATTTCAAGGGAGCATAGTAATTGAAACCAGTTCTGCCAATATTAGTACGGGTATATGGAATATCTAAGGTTAGATAGTTACTGGATCGTGTTCTGTAGCTACCAGGTTTAAATGAAAGAAGAGATGTGAGGTAGCTGGGAGGCTTCAGCAGAAGGGCTTTATAGATGAATAACATGAGACGGATATTGCGTCTGGACTGTAAAGAGGTCCAGGCAACCTTTTAATAGAGGGAACAGTGATGAGTGCGAAATGTGTCGTTAGCAGTGAGACGTAGTGCACTGTGATACACAGGATTTAAGAGCTGAAGAGTTGATGGGGCTGCAGCCGTGTTTCCATTGCAAGCAGGATGGCTGTGGCATCAGGATCTGACCGGAGCAGGGGATGCTTACCGGGTGCTCGCCGATGTCGGTCGGTCCGGGGCCCGTGAGGGCCGGACAGGCAGAGACCTGAGGCCACTCTTTTCTTTCCACATGAGATCAGGGGAGAGCGCGGACGCAGTCCCCCACTACCAGAAATTATGCAGTCGAGATTCCCACATTTGGGGAATTCGCAAGGGTCAGCACAACCGGATGTGCAATGGCTGAGCCTCGCCCTGGGTGAACCACCTTCGTGATCATGGTATCTCCCCTGCCAGGTAAGTATGAGTTGCAGAGCTCAGAGACACGCAACGCATTCACTGCCATATCACACTGACCGATGGTGCTGACCATCTAAGTCAAAGGGTGTTTGTGTGTGTGTGTGTGGGGGGAGGGGTCCACAAAACCATATGTCACAAGGAACTGCCCAGCAAGGCTTGAAACTGCCTTACAGTTTACAATGCTGCAGCGCAAGCTAGGTATTTTTGCATCAGTTAACACAAACAAAAGCTGACTGACTGCAGACTTAGTGTTTCTTGACTGCGTCAGCTCAACCCACTGGTGACCACGCACTGGTTAGACCATCCAAATCTTTGTCATAGCGCATGGCACCCATAGAATGCGGACTCTGGCGCATTAAAACAAGACAGGCGGATCGCGGCCTTTGCAAAGATTCTCAACAGCAGCTGACCCAGACACAGCAACCTTTGTCATTTCACCACAGAGAGGGGGGTGCACCGTTCCTGGAGGTGCTGCAATACCAGGTCGATGCGTGGAGTGGACGGAGCAAGCCCCTATTCCATCTCCCAGCTCCAAAAATCAATTTAATATATGGTCCCCGGGTAGGGGACGTATCAGATATTAAACTGATAAGAACAGATACTACACTTGATCTTAGCCAAAAGGCCGAGAAGCGATGCTGCACGGAGGTGGGAGGGCAGACACACACTCTCCGCACTGTGCCTCCCGCTAACGGTCCATTTCATCTCACTTACGCCAACAGCACTCCAGGAGACCCAAATTGAGCCTTCTGCGCCAGGTCAAGGAGTGACAGGGGAAGCAACGTCAGCAAACAAAGCTATGTTGAAAAGTTGGGTCCTTGCAACTTTAGCTACACCAAACTTCCTGGTCGGTCTTTGTCCATTGCTGGTGGAAAACCCTGCCACTGCCACCTACTGCTCTGGCAGCTCTGTAATAGAGGCTCTGTGCTGCTTTACAGTGTACACCGGTAAATCACAACGTAGCGTCGAGACAAGCCAGTGTGTGAAACTCACACCTTCCTTCCTCGCGGGGAAAGTTCCTCACCTGGTCCCAGGACACAGGATCCTATACATTTCTCTAGACTTGTTTGGACTTTCAGGTTACACAACCGGAGGTTGGCCCAAACCTCTGGCTCTTCTCAACTGGTCAATGCCAAGAACAGAGACAGAGTTGTTCATTACCTTTCAAACTGACTCTATCACTGACCATCTAAATAATTACTCATGCCTCAACCCTGGTCTCCCAATTGAGATTTACTGTCCTCAGTGTGTGTGAACGCCTGGAATCCAAGGAAAGGTCTGAGGAGCAGGACGCTGACCTCCAGACCCAGACCTCTGTCCTAAAACCCTGCTCAACCGTATGCTGCTTAAAACCGCACTCCTTTAGGCAAAGGATACAAATGACTGATTATCACGTCTGACGTATTCAGCAATGTGCTAATCTGTCTTGTCGTGAAATTTGTATCAACATATCTTTATTTTCATTTTTTATCAGGCAGTCTCATTGAGATCGAGATCTCTCATACAAGAGAGGCCTGAGAACAAGGAACATTCACAATCAACACACAACACAGCATACAAACAAACAAACAAACAAAAAAAGAACCAGTTAAAACAGTTACAGCGACTATTGTAAACATCAGACAACAGGTATTTAAAATCTCCAAGATGAAAAAAAAGCTCCAGTTTAAGAGCGGTTTGCAGCTCATTCCATTTCAAGGGAGCATAGTAATTGAAACCAGTTCTGCCAATATTAGTACGGGTATATGGAATATCTAAGGTTAGATAGTTACTGGATCGTGTTCTGTAGCTACCAGGTTTAAATGAAAGAAGAGATGTGAGGTAGCTGGGAGGCTTCAGCAGAAGGGCTTTATAGATGAATAACATGAGACGGATATTGCGTCTGGACTGTAAAGAGGTCCAGGCAACCTTTTAATAGAGGGAACAGTGATGAGTGCGAAATGTGTCGTTAGCAGTGAGACGTAGTGCACTGTGATACACAGGATTTAAGAGCTGAAGAGTTGATGGGGCTGCAGCCGTGTTTCCATTGCAAGCAGGATGGCTGTGGCATCAGGATCTGACCGGAGCAGGGGATGCTTACCGGGTGCTCGCCGATGTCGGTCGGTCCGGGGCCCGTGAGGGCCGGACAGGCAGAGACCTGAGGCCACTCTTTTCTTTCCACATGAGATCAGGGGAGAGCGCGGACGCAGTCCCCCACTACCAGAAATTATGCAGTCGAGATTCCCACATTTGGGGAATTCGCAAGGGTCAGCACAACCGGATGTGCAATGGCTGAGCCTCGCCCTGGGTGAACCACCTTCGTGATCATGGTATCTCCCCTGCCAGGTAAGTATGAGTTGCAGAGCTCAGAGACACGCAACGCATTCACTGCCATATCACACTGACCGATGGTGCTGACCATCTAAGTCAAAGGGTGTTTGTGTGTGTGTGTGTGGGGGGAGGGGTCCACAAAACCATATGTCACAAGGAACTGCCCAGCAAGGCTTGAAACTGCCTTACAGTTTACAATGCTGCAGCGCAAGCTAGGTATTTTTGCATCAGTTAACACAAACAAAAGCTGACTGACTGCAGACTTAGTGTTTCTTGACTGCGTCAGCTCAACCCACTGGTGACCACGCACTGGTTAGACCATCCAAATCTTTGTCATAGCGCATGGCACCCATAGAATGCGGACTCTGGCGCATTAAAACAAGACAGGCGGATCGCGGCCTTTGCAAAGATTCTCAACAGCAGCTGACCCAGACACAGCAACCTTTGTCATTTCACCACAGAGAGGGGGGTGCACCGTTCCTGGAGGTGCTGCAATACCAGGTCGATGCGTGGAGTGGACGGAGCAAGCCCCTATTCCATCTCCCAGCTCCAAAAATCAATTTAATATATGGTCCCCGGGTAGGGGACGTATCAGATATTAAACTGATAAGAACAGATTTTTTTTTTTTTTCTTTCAAAAGGTTTATTGTTACAGAACAATTTATGTGCTTATTTCAGAACTGGACTTTTCCTAAGCGGGATGACAATTTACATCAACATCGAACACATGTTTTTTTGTTTTAAAAAGACATTTTTCAGACACAATACATTGTTGATATGTAAAACAAATTAAAAGGCAATGATGAGTTAAAATTCTCTGTGTCTTAAAAAGTGTCCATGTTGTTAAAACCACCTTAAAAGAAGAGCATTCATGTTAAAAGTTCTTTCTTAGGTTCTTTGTGCAGGAGCGGGTTAAGCCCCTACCAAGAAAAAAAACTCATTCTGCTCTACCAAACAGGTGTGGTCTCTCGGGGTCCTGCCTTGGTGCTCAGAGGAGACCCCCACCCTGCTGCTCCTTCCCGCCTGCCACTCCCGGAGAGCCAGGCTGCTGCTGCTTTGAACTTTTCCCGTGTAGCTCCGGCTCCTTCGTCCGAATGGGCACAGAGGCGATTCTTCTTTGTGGCTGTTTCCTAGGCCTGCCGCCTGCAGCCCCGGCCATTGTGACCGTTGCTGCTGCCATCCGGAGAACAGCCACGGGGGGGATCTGCTTGTGCTTCCTTACCAGCAAGTTCCTGGAGGTCCATATGGCGTCCTTGATGGCGGCTAGAGTGAGCCATTGTTGGGAAAAGTCCTTTGGCGGCTGCTGTTCATGGCTCACTCCATAAAGCACTAGCTGTGCTGTGAGGACCTCCCTTGCTGGTAAGCACGGGAATTGCAAGGTGCCGGCCAGTGCCCACTGTTCTACAGCAGCGCTGCACTCCCAGAGCAGATGCCTCACCGACTCAGGCGCGCCACAACCTGGTCGGGGGCAAAGTGAGGACGTTGACATGCCCCGGGAGTGCATAACAGACCTGACTGGGAGGATCTCATGAGCCACCATCCATGACAGGTCCCGGAGTCTGTTTGGAAGAGCAGGATGGTTCACATTGCGCCAAACTGTGGAGGGCTCACCGAGTGCAAGCCCGCGCACTGGACTCACTGGCTCCCGCTCCTGCACAACAGAAATGAGAGAACGGTGGTTAGTTAAAATGTCCAACTGTTCTTCTTCAAGTTTAAAATGTTTTAAAAATTTCTGAATTAAAAGATATGCAGGGGGAAGGTTAAAGGACACTGGAATTCTCAGGTCCACAGGTAAGATTTTTAGCCGTTGCAGATATGACCCCATCCAGAATCTTGTAAGGGCAGCTGTTTTGGGGTTTCTGGATGGGGCCATGGCAGCCCTGATCGCCAGCGAAGCATATCTGCTTTTTAAAAACAGGCCAAGGTCCGGCACTCCTTTTCCTCCTTTTTCTTTGTTTTTTTTCATCGTCTCCCTCTTGATTCTCTCCCACTTGGTCCCCCACAGGAAATAAAAAATTGTACGGTCCAGTTCTAAAAGCACATGTCGAGGAGGGATAAAAACAGAGCCAATCAATAAAAGCAAAGGTAAAATCACTGCTTTAATAATTAAAACCTTCCCTTCCAAAGTCAGTTGTCTTTGTCTCCAAAACCCCAGTCTCTGTCTAACTTTCCCTACTTTGTCTGGCCAATTTGTTTTTCCTCCCCCCTCCCTGTCAAATTTTACCCCAAGGATTTTCTGTTCCGTCTGGGTCACAGTCAAGGGGAGTCCAGTCATTTCAGTCGCCGTCCAAGGTCCGTGAAATTGGGCTTGGGTCTTTTGTCTGTTGAGTCTTGATCCAGAGGCCCGTCCAAAAAAGTCAGTCATGTCAAGGGTTCTGTAAACTGATAAAAGGTCAGTACATAAAATGTTGATGTCGTCCATGTATAAAATGCATTTGTTGGTCAGTCCTCCGCTCCCTGGTATCCCCACCCCTTTGATCCGTTGGTCCCTTCTCAAGATCTGCGCCAGGGGTTCAATGCAGAGGACATAGAGGAGGGCAGATAACGGACAACCCTGACGGACACCGCAGTTTATTTGAACTGCATTTGTTAGATGCCCGTTAACCACAAATTTGCTGATGATGTCCCTATACAGCAGTCCCACCCAAGCTATATACCTCTCTGGGAACCCCATCTTTTGCAGTACCTGGAAAAGATACTGGTGCGAGACCCGATCAAAGGCCTTTTCAAAATCTAAATTGAGGACTACTAGCCGAATGTTTCTGTCTCTCGCTAAACAGATGGTGTCTCGGATCAGTATCAGGCTGTCGGTGATCTTCCTCCCCGGGACGGCACAGGCTTGATCCGGGTGAATCAGCCCCTCTAAAAACACAGACATACGAGATGATAAAAGCTTACTAAAAAGTTTGCAGTCAAAATTTAAAAGGGTGATAGGTCTCCAGTTTTTTAGGTCTGTCTTGTCTTTGTCTTTAAAAAGGAGAGTCACTATCCCTAATCTAAAACTGTCAGGAAGTCTGTCAAGTTTTTCAAAATCCATAAAAACTGTCAAAAGGTCAGGTGCTAAAATGTCCCAGAAAGTCAAATAAAATTCCAGGGGAAGTCCGTCATGCCCTGGGGACTTCCCCCTCTTAAAACCTTTTAGGCAGGTTTCAAGTTCTAAAATGTTAAAATCTTGGGATAAAAGCACACTTTCTTCAATTGTATGTTCTATGAATTTCAAAACTTCTTTTAAGGTATCATGTTCAATAGGTTTTTCTTTATATAGTTTTTCATAAAAGCAGGTCACTGTTTCTTTTATTTCTTCTGTTGTTTCTGATATGCCACCATTTTCTTTCTTAAGTTTGAGTATTGTTTTGTCTTTGTTTATGATTTTCTTAAAAAAGTATCTGGTGCACTTTTCACCTTCTTCTATTTCCTTTTCTTTGCTTCTTAGAATGACACCTTTACTCTTGATGTCAGCCAAGGCTGACATTTGTAATTTAACTTCCTTTATTTCTTCATTAAAATCCATTCCATTATGATTTTGGTTAAAATATCTTTGTAGTCTTTTTTGCAATCCCAGCATGCGTCTATGTTCTTTTTGTTTTTTCCTTTTTCCAGCTTGCCTAAAAAAAGTCTGGGTCCTTCCCTTCACCATTTCCCACCAGTGTGCGCGTGTCTCGTAAAAGTCTTGAAGGGTCTGCCATTCTTCATACTGCTCCCTGTACTGCCTGACAATCTCCCTTTCTTCTAACAGGGAGCAGTTGAGTTTCCACAGACCCTTCCCAGAAGTCACACCAGAAGGGAGTGAAAGGGTGCAGGAAAGCATAGCGTGATCTGAAAAGAAAACAGGGGTTACTCTAGCATCAGTTGGCGGGCAATCTCTTGATAAAATATAATCTATGCGAGAGGCTTTGGTGCCATCACCACTGAACCAGGTGAAGCCCTCCTCTCTGGGATGCATGACTTTAAAACAGTCGAGTAATTTAAAATCCCTGCATATAGCCCCCAATAAAACTGATGTTTTGTCAACTTTAAAATCCTCCCCTGCTCCTTTCCTATCCTTCCTACATAAAATACAATTAAAATCCCCTCCTAAAATCAGTGGCAGCCTGCCTAGCATGTGGGATTGCAAGTCTTCTAAAAGGTCATACCTGTCATTTTTGTCGTTAAAACCATAAATATTTAAACAATTAAAATCCTTCCCCATAAAAGTCAGGTGTGCTAAAAGTGCCCTGCCATCTCTCACCACGGTGCTGCCCTTCACCAAGACCTGGGGGTTTTTGCTTAAAATGGCCACGCCATCATTTTTATTTTGGTTGGATCCACTCCATAGGGATGTATGTGGCCAAAGTTTCTCCCACTCTGTGTAACTGGTCTTAAAAGGCAATCCGCACTCTTGCAATAAAAACACATCTGACTTCAGAGAATAAAGGAATGATAAAACGGCTTGGGCTCTAACTTGCGACTTCACACTTCTCACATTGATGGTAGAGAAGGTGAGAGCCATAAGTATGGTTAAAAACAACAGGTACGAC